TCAGTCGTCAAAACACACGTCCTCGTATCAAAGTCCCGTAATAGTATAATCAAAATGTATCTGATGTAAGTTTCGATCATAACTCATTTTATAATAAAAAGAAGGAGCTATAATAAAAAACAGAATGAAATATAGAAATGAATTATCGTCGTTAAATTTTCTCTCGAGACTTTGAAATCAATGAATCGGAAAGCACACGGAGAGAGAGAGAGAGAGAGAGAAAATACGGGTCAAAGTCAAATTTCGAAACGATCGTGATACATAACTAACATCGTGATCTTACTTTTGATGAAAGCAAAACTGACGGTTTATCCTTATGGATGGATCATTATTCGCTCTGGACACAATGATTATCGCGTTTCTAACACAAAGAGGAAATTGCTTTTTTTAATATTCAAAGCAAATATCGTCTTTCGATGCGAATTCCCCAACTACATCTCCATGACAAAAACACAAGAATACAAAATAACTCTTAAATTTTATTGCATTGTTTTTAACCTTTCTTAAAATGCGTCTCTTAAATTATTCGAATAAAAAATTTTTGTTCTGAAATTGAGATACGTGTCCATTGCATTTCCTGGAAAATTGGATCAAATTAAGAAATCTTTGTTCTTAATAAAAATAATTTCTTTGTAAAGTTACCATTGGCAATTGAGTACCTCCATTTAACATAAAAATAATTTATATTAAATTATTAACTTTCACAGTTAGAAATACAATTTAACAAAAAAAAATACATTTTCATTTGAGACTTAACAGTATAACCAAAACGAATACCCTGCGGATATCCGAAAGTAGCTAAGTGGTAAAGCATGCCGTGAAACCAAAAAAGTTCTTAGTAAAATTCACACGCATACCATAGGACGGACCTCTCCATCCCACGCAGTAAAACGTAGGATATCTATACCGTTAGCGAGTGCGGCTAGCCCAGATACCGGATTACGGAGCTCGAATTGTCAATGGCTGTTACGTGACCCCCTCGTCTTCGTCGCTTTTTTCTCTCCCTCCTTCCTCCTACGCGCGAAAATGACAAGGTAGTACGTACGCAAATGCCTACCTATGGGGACGACGGACAACGACGCTGGGCTTAAATCTAGCTGTACTGTCGCGGGCTTGCATTGCTAACGAGAACGAACAGACCTTGCATATACACAGGTACGTGATGCTTGAAAACATGTTTGGATTGTACCGTTTTACCACTATTTCCTTTTTTTTTTTGACTTGTGTACAAGCGACTTTTATTGTCGGTGTGGTTTCAAGTGTAGTTTTCTCATTTAATTTTGGATGTTACGAGACATTATGTTATTATAAATTACAAAAGTTTTGATTCGAGATTAGATTTATGATACTGATGCAATAAAATTATTTCAATTTAAATGAAAATTTCAATAAACATAGTAATGACGAGATAAATCGACTATTAATTTTGTAAGACGATTAGATAACTTTCGTAATTATTACAAATTATTTTTTAACGCTTTTAACTGTAAAATCACTTAAAAAGTCGAGCTAGTTAATAATATTCAATTAACATAATATAACACTGCAGTCAAAATGTTTTAATTGAGAGAGATTTCTTCTTACAATAAATATGCAGCAAATTTTAATAGCCGTTGTCTATTAATAATATTTCAAATTCTTTTCAAAGTTACTACTTATTCCATAGTTGTTACTAATTTACTTTACTTTCTTCAACGCATCACTGACATTATACTAACATGGCATTAAACGCGAGAGAAAAGTTATTCCATTCTTCATGAGATTGTATAATAGTATTGTCGTGGAGTTTTATTCTAAGTTTAAAATGTCTAAATTTAAAAAAAATTACCAAAATCATTGCTCTTAAAATAAGATAAATCAGTTTGAGTATGCAACAAATTTAAAAATTGTTTTGTAGTGAAGAGGAAAAAAGATTATATCGATGAGGAACGTTTTATCAATATTTCTGCCACGCGTGCCCCTCCTCTACGAGTTGCTTAAATTACCATATTTATGAGTTTACATATATTCTGTTCTCAGATAATTCAATTCGCTCAGCTGTGTTTTAAAAAGTCCACTAAACTTTTCTCACTTCAACACCTTAAAATTCAGCAAAAATTAATAACATTATGAAATTGAATTGATAATTTATGATTCCACTTAAAGTACATACATACTCGTTTATAATAAATAAAATGTCAGTGCAAAGAACATAAATAAAAAAAACTTAGTCTCTAAATAGCTGAACACAGTGTTTATTCACTCCTCTGCCGAAACGGATTTACGAATGCCTTGTTGCACCTTTTCACTTTTCACGGAATCGTCGCCTGCAGAGAGAGAGAGAGAGAGAGAGAGAGAGAGAGAGAGAGAGAGAGAGAGAGAGAGAGAGAGAGAGAGAGAGAGAGAGAGAGAGAGAGAGAGAGAAAATCCTGTACAGAAGCAGCTGCAGCGTCGATTTTCTCCCTTCCATATACTGTCAACAGGGATTTTGAAACGAGATTCGAAAGAAATGCTAATTTTTCTAAACGCGTTGACTTGTGCTCTGTGTGATGATGCACGCGCGCAAACGATTTTCTCTTCGACGGGAGAGCATTTTCATGCTTTAAAGTGGTCTTAAATAGACTGTGAGTGGCTACTGCAGTGAATTTCAATCTATACAGAGAGTGTACCTTCGTGTGCGAGAACTATCGGACTGCACATCATTGAATCGTCATTAAAATTTTCCAGTATTAGTTGCAAGATTTTCACTTGCGTGATACTTCGTAATTCGATATTAATTCAAAGGAAAATGATTGTTTTCATGAGAAAATGATTTATTATTTTTCTCGACAATTTCGTAAAATACACGGTATAGAAAAGTATTTTTGCAAATCGCTTTAAATACCTACTCAGCAATTCAGAACGTTTATTAAATTTAACTTAACATAAAACTGAAAACAATAAACTCTCATTTTAGTTATAATTAGTAGTTTTATCATCAAACATTATTCGCGAATGAAACAAAAGACGTCAAAAAGTACAAATTTAACATGCACCAATAACATGAATAAAAATAGTGCTTCTCCGAAATGACGCACCCATAAGGCGCAAAATCCCGCGGAGAGGAAATGCTGATTTATCGGTGCAGTTTTGCGAGTATATTTTCGGAGCGAAGTTGTACCTCTCTCTCCGTTTTTTTTCATCATTTCACGCGTGAACTTTGGTAATTTTAATATCTTTATATTTAGGCATTATTTTCTTCTTTCTCTTCTCGTTCGAGGTGGGCATCCATGCTTCACTTCTCTGCGCGCAAGTCGAAAATGTACCATCCAGTCACCTTAAAGTGCTGCACTGCTGTTGCTCTGATTAATCCACTGTTTTCTTTTACGAGTATTTGAATTAATTTTTTTTTCTCACGAGTGACTATTTTCGTACAGTGTATGATCGTTGCTTTTGAACATGACGGTTAAAGCGAGAAACCTACTGAATGAACAAACACTCGTACATAAGATATATCATCGTACAAAAGGATCTCTTCTTACGAAACAGACTATCATTGAAAACGCCCTCGCGAAGGTTGAAAAAGGTCGATGGTACAAAGATTGAATATGACGTTCTCACGCGTACGTGGCTCATCCGTGCGAATTCTCGTCATTCGGACAACAATGAGAATCTTCAACCTTCTTATATTGTAAAAGTACACGTTAAATTTGAATCTGGATTTAATGTGGCGTTGCATAATCGTCGGTTAATTTACTGTCGATTCGGAAATTCTCCTTGTCGCGTGTCGCGCGTGGATACTTATCACCTGCTTAAAATGCTAATCGTTTCGAAAGTAAAAGTAATTGGAAAGCTAGACGTAAGGTCTTAAAACCTTTGGATAGGCCAAAAACCGCATTAACAACAACGTTGTTATTTTTTCCTTCCTTTACATAAAAGTGAAAGATTCGAAACTTGCGGGCTTTTTCGCGTGCCCATGCGCTCGCAAGAAAGTCCAGTCTTCCCCGTGTAACGTAACGTTCGCTTACTCGAGTTTGTTGTCGTTATCGAGTTTTTCTCGGAAAGTTCAACACATATTTGTCATTTTCCTTTTCGCGTTTCCCGTTTTACCTGTACTAAAATTATATAATTAGTATTTACATTTAAAATGCTTCTACAGCTGTTGCTGCTTCATAGCATACATCTGAATGGGCCTTTTATCTCTGCAGCGACACAATTTCCTTCGTTGCTCGCTGTCGCAATGTGTATACATACACATCGTCTCGTTATGAACGATATTGTGATTCGGTGTCATGGCGCGCACTGCGTTTCTTATCGATAGACGTTTTATGAGGCTCCTGTCACTCTTTCTTCTCTTCGTTTTCTTTTATTATGAAACTTACTTTTTTCTCTCTTTCAACTCGTTCGATCGTTTATACGACTCGAGTGAGTGGAATTTTAGAACGCGTTGAATGGCTTTCCGCGTAATCGGCACTTTGAGTGTATAGGCCAGTACGAAGACAACATATACTATCAGTTTCAAATATTACATTTTTTAACAAAAATTTATATTTATGCATACAATTTTTTACTCACTTAATGTATTTGTTTGTCAATTTTAATATATGTGCACTTACTGAATTTCAATTTGAGCCTAATCGAGAACCTAATGATAAGTATGTTACGTAAGTTAAATTTACCATAAAAATTCTAGAAATATTTAGTGACATAGTCAGCTCCGAAATTTCTTCTATTTGGAAACAATAAATTTCTGATAATCATTGGAATCAGATGGAACGTAAACATCACAACTTTACTGTAGAAAAATATTTCAAGAGTCGAAATGCGTATTTCAAAAACTATTGCTTTGAAACGCATGAATCAATCATGAAAAATCTTGCTTAACAAGCAAACTTCATCTTTCGATAAAAAAAGCCAACAGAAAACAGCTGAGTGATGTATATGATGAAGGCGGAAATAAAAACGCCGGGTGGTCAAGTTAAAAGTACGCAACTAGTCTATATAACATTGTAGTGGAAAACGGAAATAACAGTAACACTTACCTCTGATTTTAGTCTCCTGGGGGTCAATCGGTGGAATCCTGGGGTGGCTGGTCTGTGGCTGCTGGCCAGGTTTCTTCAAAAGGACACCCACGACTTGCGGCGCCATCATCATCTTGGCTATCGTCGTCTCTTTTTTTCAGTCACACAACTTCCGGCCTCACTTTACTCATTGTACCATTTTTTTTCAAATCCTATACTATAGCACTATATCAACTCGTCACATATCGTCAACACACGACGCACTCGACATTAACAACTTTATGTCGATTTATAAAACACGTTAAGGTATCGAAAAAAACCGAGAATGAAAACGTTATCTTCTCACACGAACAGGCGCGCATTCGCCGAGCGACTGACTTGTTTCTCGTCTCTGCAGAGCTGCGAGCCGCAACCGCTGTCTCTCACTCGCGCGCTCTATCCCCACCACAATCGCGCGAGCGGCGTAAGCAACCCTTGACGACGACCATCATGTGTAGACATATATACGCGGCCGCGTTTTTATGGGATTCTATTTTCGCGCGCGAGAGGCTTTAATTAGGTGAGACACTAGGCGACGTCGTTTTTTTTATTCCGCGTGGGATGATGATGACACGAGAATAGCTGACAGGACTACGTGATCGATTGGCCTTTGATTGAATTGTTGACGTGAATGAGTAATTGGGTGAAAATGAGTGACTTTATTTATTTTTGTTTTGTTGATTATACTTGGTTGAGCAATAGGTTGTTCTTCATTTTTATCAAAGGACAGTGAGTATTTCTAATAAGATCGAGCGAAAAGACATCAGTGAAGATTTCTTTTCTGTTTATATTATTATATTTATTAAATATAATGTTTCTATTAATTTATATAATGGCTTTTCCTATAATGATACATGATTGATTATGTTGACAATTTGATTAAAAAACAATCCATTAGGCAATCTATTGCTAATTTACAATATTTGAGGTTATACGATTTTTTATAAGCATAACAAATATTTTCGTGTAAAATGCACTTTTATTGAATAATGTTTATTGTTATTAAGAAATAATGATGACAATGACCATCCATATGTTATAATTATGTGTACGAATAATAAAAGTTTATAATACTAGAAAATGCTGAAAAAATTAAAAATGTTACCTATATTATAATCAATTATAGATGCCCAAAAACATCATAATTCATCCCTTTAATGAATGAATTTAAGAAAAATGTCGAATTGAGAATATAATAAATTGAATAAAATTTTCATATTTAAGAAAATAAATAATATTTTCTACGGAAAATGTAAGATAAGTGTTAGGCAACTCATAGTAGAAAAATTTTGATGAGCGTAATGAAGCGTTATCACAGTAATTGTGAATCACACGAAAGAGACATGGCATATTCAACTTAAAATAATGAGACATTACGTATATTCAAAGTCCTAGAAACTAATACATTCATTAGGCGATCCCCACAATTAACGCAAACTTTTTACCACGAATGCTGCTGCAGCTCAACACCCCATGACCCTCCCTCTTCTCGCGCGTGAATTGCAATTAATTTTATCAAAATTTTGTCCGACGAGTACAAGTAAGTGCTCTTGCCGTTATTTCTTCTGTATTTTCGTTTCGCTCCATCTCACGTTCTTTGTCAGCTTGGCGGCGCACGAGCGTCTCCGCAACCGCACGACCGCATATGTCGAGCTCGTAATCTACATACCCTTCGAAAATAGCAGAAATAACCCTTTTCTGCTAGAAGGCTGTATAAGAAATGCTGCTGTTGCTGCGAAATATGAGTGTATATGTATGTGTATTATTTTTTTAAACCAGAATATGAGGCTATCCGTATTCACGGGGGACTTGGCTAAATGTATAATCAAGATTGATAAAAATATTTAGATATTAGTTTTACTCATCCATTTGAAAGACACGCTATTGATTTGTTGTCTTTTTTTATGCAGAGCTAGAATAAGTATGAACTCTTTCAGAGTGCGGTTTGAGAGATGGAACGATGGAGAGGAACGAATCGATTTTCTTTCCTCATTCGTTTATTATTACAAAGCTTTGTAATGAAATAAACTTTCGAATAAAAAATATACGTGTGATTGAAATATTTTTTTATGTTCATAAAAGTTCCTTCGATTAACATTGGACAATTTTAAATAACATTGTTATCGATCGCCTCCGCACGGACTTACTTGGACGCAGTAGAAAAAGTAGACTTTAGATATAAGATAATTTTAAAAGAAAAGTAATAAATTTAAGAATTTTTGTGTGTGTAATTTTAGGAATAGATCTAGAATATTTAAGAAATATTATATTATTAATTAAATATATAAACCGAAACGAAATACAAGAAAGTATTTATATTTAGCAAAAATATTTTTTTGAATCAAAAAGTAATATATAGAGTATTATATATGGTAAGTAGAGTAGCATAAACAATATTTTTCCTATTGACTACACATTCCATACAATGAGCAACAAATCTCGGAAAGTCCCAAGTCGTTATAACGCAACCATCTGTGCAAAAGCTGTATATACGGGATCACGATGAAAAAGAAAGCATCGTGATATCGTCGCGAAAACTACAGCCATAAGGCTTGGCACACGCGAAAATCCCAACAATAAATTAACAGTCTAGGGTGCCTCTGTACACACCGTCGACGCCCGCAATATTGAACTTTTCTCCACAAGTCTGTGCGTCACAGCAAAAGCTACATGGGAGCATTAAAGACTGTTGTGTGCCTTGCTCGCCAGTTTACGGCCACTAAACTAACACAATGTGAGCGCACGCCCCAAGAGATGCGAGAAAGAAAAAAGAATACGACACACGGGGCGGTGTCGAGTTCTTCCGCTTTTTCTGTGGTTCACCGGGTCATTTGCGGCGCATTTCTTCAAGGGGATATTGCAGACATTGCCGCGCGCGACAATTGCCCTGCAGGTGATACCTGAGAACATTTCGGTCCATTCTTATTAAAAAAATGTCATTTTATTGACGGGAATATTATTCGAATGATGAGAAGGAAAAAATGCGTTGTAACTAATCCCAACTGATATATTACATTGTAAAACAGTTGAGCTCGTATTTACATTTGCAAAATAAATTTTACGAGCAAGTTTTTAGATTTTTATTTTCAAACAATTACATTGACGCATCAAATATTGTCAATAATTTTAGTTAAATTCATTAAATACTCATCATTAAAATGCTAGATAACATTTTAAATATAACGCCAACAGACACGTCGATTAATTATTCATAGCAGAGTATTTAAATAATTTTAAAAAATATAAGCGAGATAATTTTGTAAAGACAATCAATAACGTTGGAAGAAATAATATCAATAAATTGTTTGCTGTATATTTTTACAATTTTTACATTTCTTTGAAAATTAAAATTCCTTAAAATTGCATATTCTCTTAATAAAGTGAGAATATACAATGTAAAAAGGCTTAGCGACGTGCCTTGTATTGTTCTGATACATGTATTAGAAATCGAAAATAATTTTTATAAAGACTTCAAGGTTTAGTTTGATCCTTCCTTGAAACAATGATGGATAGAATTTCGTCGACGACATTCAGCGTCGTAATCGGTCGAGCGTTCAAAAAGCGCGAAAGTTCAAATGGTTTTTATTTTAGTGTATGGATGATCAAATTTTTATTTTTTTTTAAATAGAGAACAAAAAATATATCATTTAGATGGATAACGTATGAAGTAAGAATGAAAGAATGATATGAATTCGATGTAATTAACTTTTATCGTTGATAAATAGTAAATGCAATTATTTATTTTCATTTCAAACTTAAAAAATCACTGTTTAATTTAAAGCGAAAAAAAATAGATGGCAGTTTTGTATGTCAACATTCTTGCATTTGCTCATATGCGGCTAAACGCTGAACACCTGCGTTTCATAATTATACAAATTGCTAAGTATTTATGCAAGTAAACATACTCTGTTATAATATTTAAGACAAATCACTTCAGTGATCACAAGTTGCGTGAATCCTATTTTTTTTTATTTAAAATAATTTATGTGTAGTCGATCATCCAGCATTGTGATTGGTTTGTGCAAACAATGGCGCCAAAATTTGAATGTTGATGACTCTCTCTCTCTCTCTTTTTCCCTATTAGATCGCTGTCTTATTTTATCCATTCTCACCTTATCATCGATTGAACGAGCATAAGTCAATCTACAACAATTCACACTAGAGCTGCAGTGGCTTAGTAGATGGAACGTCGGTCTCCCATGCAGAAGGCTAGGGTATCAAAGGCTTTTTTTCAAACAGTGTATGTACAAATATTAGCACTGTGGTTCTGGTGGTTTCGGGTAGCACCTTCAGCTATAGATTCTGTATTCATTCTTTCTGTAGACGTGATCAAATGACTATGTTTAAATAGTCTGAATGTTTTTCGAGAAAAGGGCCTTTATCATCTACATATATGTAATAATAAAAATCACATTTACGTACAGGTATCTCAGTTAGAGAGTCACCGCCATCTAATAAAATTAAAACTGAACCAGCAATTCATATTGTACATACAGCGTGAGTCAGGCAAAGCGAATCAAGCAGAATAAGTCCAGTTAGCAATTTAACGTTAGCCGTACTCATCTGTTCTGCTTTCAGTAAGAAAAGTTTACTTGATAGTATCAGGTGATAAAGTTTCCCGGAATTGTATTAATAACAGATGCAACTTCTGCGACTATTGTCAATGTAAATGGATAAATTTCATTTGGAGCAATATTTTCTTAAGATGAAAAAATAGAGGTCATACGGTAAAAAAATGTAACTGTGTAAAAAATAGGTTTTTTTCGGGAAGAATGTGAACGTTATAAATTATGATAGGAGGAAAAATAATTAAGTACCATTTACCCATGTAACTTTTTTTATTTTGATATAAAGGAATATGCAATATACAAGGTCTGGAATTTCCAGTTAGAAACAGGGTAGAAACTACTAAAACTGGCATAAATTTAGGTATAGCATTGGTATTTCTTCATCGTACTTACTTGTTGATTAACGATTTTGTTTTCTCTTATACCTACTTACGTATAACTACCTGCGCGTACCTCTGCAAAAATTTACGATGCAGTTGATTAATAAAAGAAATAAACGAAATGTAGGTATATTCTCAAAAAGCGCCCTCACTATGTGAGACGAGTATCAACTGAAATCTAATATTTATGACAAGCCCACTCCTTTCCCTATTTGATTCGTAACTCATCGAACCCCAGTGGTACGCCACACCCTTGGTAAAAACGTTTAAATTACTACCACGATCACCTACACATACCTTATGTGGTCTATACGCCTGAAAAAACTAGATATGGTATGTAACTGTCATGTTGATTGAATGATATCTTCATTCCGTAGATCAAACTTGAAATATAAACGGTAAAAAAGTTTTTAACAGTAGCCATTTTCATTTTTTTACGAATTTCAATAAAAAGCATAA